TCCAGGACTTGGCCATGTGGGAGTGTCCAGCACCTTAACCACCACACCACCTGCTGGTCCCTCTACATGTATTTTTAAAAGCTGAAAATTTAATTTGCTAAAATCAAATGTGCTTTTTTTTTTTTTTTGAGAATTTTTTGCTATAGGGCGTGTGTGCTCACCAGAGAGAGACAGAAAATGAGAAATCACCCCCTGGGGGGGATGACCACGCTGCAATCCCTTCTCCTCCATTCTCCTCTCTGGATCTTGGGCACACATGCACAGCGCACCTGGCATGAATTTAGCCACCGGGTCCGGGACTCGAACCACAGTTGACTACATGGGAGTCCAGTGACAGAGCCATTATGCCATCTGCTGGTACCTGTGCTTAATGTTTAATTTTTATAAGTGAAAATATCTATCTTTGAAATGGGGAGGGAAGAGGGCCCACAGATAGTGTGATAGTTAAGCAGCGGGATTCCACATGGCCAACTGCACAGTTCAAGCTCCAGACCTGGTAGCTTGAAAAATCACACTAGGCACTTGTGTGGTTTGTGCCCAAAATCCTGAGAGGTGAATGGAGAAGGGACTACAGAGTGGCCAGGCCCCCTGGGGGAACGTTCTCACTTTCCCTTTTTTTCCCTCTCCAGCAAGCCCAAGCACCCAAAAGCAAACATTTGGAAAAAAAAAAAAAAAAGGGGACCAGAAAGTGGGGTACATCACTGGATTACCACAGGGCCAACTGTGGTTTGAATCCTGGACCCAGTGGCTTCAAACTCACACCGAGCACATGCACATGCCTGCCCAAGATCCCAGGGGGAGAACAGATAAGGGATTGTGGTGTGGCAATCCCCACTGGGGGGTGATTTCTCGCTGTCTGTCTCCATCTCTCTGGCAAGTGCACATGCCCTACAGCAAAAATCTTTCTTAAAAAAATAGTAGTAGGAGTATCATACGAAATTGATAGCAACAACTGCACTATACTTTTTAAAATTGTGGCTACACTATAATCCCTTCTCTTCCATTCTCCTTTTGGGATTTTGGGCATGCAGGGACACATGCCTGGCATTTCTCAAACCACTTGGGTATAGGACCAGAACCATCTAGTTGGCTACGTGGGATCCAGCCACCTTAACCACCATGCCACCAGTTGGTCCCACAGGGAACGCTTAAAAAGAAAAAAAGAGAAAAACTTACCCTTTGACAGGATTATTTCAGAAGTTGCTGGTTATTTCTGAATTGAAACTCAGTAATAAAGAACTGTGGCATCATAAGTAACTGTGGCATCATAAGTGGAAATTTTTTTCATAGGATCAGTGGTTTCATAGAATATATGAGTTTCTTGTATATATCTATAACCCAAATGATGTCAGCTGACATGGTCTGTGCCTTCACACCTGCATATCCCAAACTAAGCAAAAAGGAGCAATGCTCAGACCCATGTCCATTGTTTTCATTGACTATATAGTTGCCAGAGGACCGCAGACTAATTTTTATAGTGCCAAGGACATAAATATGTATGTTTTTCCTTATCTTAATTCCACTATCTTTGTGAAGTAAAAGCTCCTTGAAAACTACAAAAGGGAGCCAGCTGGTAGCAAGGTGTTTACAGTGGCTGGATTACACGATAGACCACAGTTTGAGTCTTGGACCCAGTGGCTTGAAAGACACATGCGTGCTTGAGTGCCCAAAATTCTTAGAGAATGAGAGCTGGCCGGTGGCATGGTGGTTGGGGGCACTGGACTCCCACGTGGCTGACCGTGGTTTGAGTCCTGGACCTGGTGGCTTGTTTTCTTACTTTACCCCTCTCTGATCAAACTGGGAAATAATAATAATTATAGATAAAGTTAAATAATTCTTTAAAAAAAGTTCCTAGAGAATGGAGAAAGGACTGTGGTATGGCAATCCCCCCAGGTTAGGGGGTGCTTTCACACTTTCCCTCTCTCTGTCTCTGTCTCTCCCTGGCAAGCACATGTGCCCTATAGCAAATTACAAAAATAAAAGTGAAAAATACAAAAGGTTCAGAAGCAAATGGTTAAGAAGTTTCTGACATTAAACCACCTTGTTCTTTTAAAATAATCATATTCTATAAGCATGTGCCTGCAAGTGTAGCAAAAAACAAGATGGATTAATCAATCAAGTTCCAGAAGTTATACTCAGAGGAACACAAATTTATAAAGACTGACAGTTTAATTATGACAAAGCTGAAACATTTATATTAGGTGAGGACTAAAACATGAATGACAGACTTTAAGGTGAATGGGCTTCTGAAGGTCCATGATACAAACGGGGATGGAAGGCCCCACTTTCTACAAAAGCCTTGATGAGAAAGTTTTGTAGTATAGTTCAAAACAAAACAAAAACAGAAGAGGTCCTAGAGAAAACCAAGTATTTTTGCACAGTATTTCTTAATGTCAGATTGTGTAACGTTTCTATTAGTAAAATCAATTTATTTTATTTTATATTTTGGCTTTCAAACGGAATTTTAGAAAATACCTAGTAAGAATATTGTTCTGAAAGTGCTTCTTCTTAAGTTCTTTGGTATAATTTGGTCATTTTGACAGTAATCAACCCAGGAAGAAACTTTAATTTCCATGTGTCAACAAAAATGCAAAGAGTACAAATGTTTAGAAAATCACGACTAAGGAATAAATTATATTTGACCTCATGGAAAACAGAACTCTAAAGTGTCACTTGTGTTCTCATGGCAAAGCCGTCCGTGCTGCCTATTAGAGCATCTCACTTCGTTTATAGTACAGAAATGTTACATAAACTTCTTGATTATTAGAGTAACTACTCTCTATTCTCTAAAGTACAAGAGGCAAGTTTCAGCTTGAAAAAAAGGGTAATTTCGAGTTTTATAAAGTTCTACTCTTTTGTGCTTTCTGAGATTCAGTGAGCGTCAATATCTAAAACGTAATGTCAGTTTGCAGAATGTTAAAGATCAAGCTTTTATTTCAGGAAATAGCTAATTTTCCTCTTGAAGCATTTTCTCTATTTCCTTATCCCAGTTTTCATCTCGTTTCTCTGATTCTGTCACCACTTCATATTCTTGAAGCTCCTGTTGTAGTTCTTTTTCCCAATCTGCAGAATCCTCTAAAAGAAACAAATGAAGAAATACATTATTTCTAAACTGATCACGCTGGTGTTAACAATTCAGTCAACTTTATCTATGTATATATTTACCACAGTAATTTTGCTCTGGCTTTTCTCTTTATTTAGATGGATAATTAATAACTAATATTTGACTGCATGCAAATTAATTTTTTTGAATTCTTTATTTTATTTGTTGTTATTATTTTAAAATTTTGATCATGGAGAGATAGAAAGAGAGAGAACGGGAAAGTGAAGAAGCAAGCTGCCAGGTCTGGGACTTGAATCGCAGACAGCCATGTGGGAGTCTAGCACCTCAACCACTGTGCCACACACCAGCCCCAATTTTTTTTTTTTAAGAGAGAGATTTTGCTATAGGGCACGTGAGATCACCACAGAGATTGAGAGACAGAGAGACAGTAAGCAAGAAATCAGCCCCCAGGAAGGGTGGCCACGCCGCAATCCCTTCTCCATTCTCCTTTCAGGATCTTAGGCATGCATGCACACGCGCCTGGTATGAGTTTAAGCCACCGGGTCCCAGGTGGTCGACTATGTGCGAGTCCAGCGATGTAACCATTAAGCCATTTGCTGGTCCCTGCAAATTAATTTCTACCAATGATGATGGTGGTAGCAAAAATAGCTAATGCTATTGCGTACTCAACCAAGCCGGGCGCAGTTATGCTTTCTATGCTTAGACCAATCCACGACAAGACACTCTTATTAGCCATTTCTTCCAGATGGGGAAACAGAGGCTTAGAGAGGCTAAGTGACTTGCCCAAGACCACACAGCTTGCCAGGAACAGCTACTATCCATGGATGGAAGCAGACCTGCAGGCTCCACAGCCTGTGCTTATTAACCACTATGCTAACAAAGATCTCATCTCCCAAGAGTGGAATGTCAGTCAGCAGGATCTTTTTTTTTTTTGGAGAGGTTTTTGCTATAGGGTGCATGTGCTTGCCAGACAGACAGAGACAGAGAGATAGAAAGCGAGAAATCACCCCCCAGGGGGGATGGCCATGCTGCAATCCCTTCTCCTCCATTCTCCCCTCGGGATCTTGGGCACGCACGCACGCACATGTGCCCGGCGTGAGTCTAAGCCACCAGGTCCAGGACTTGAACCTCAGTCGACTATGTGGGAGTCCAGCGACATAGTCATTCATTACGTTAACTGCTGGTCCCAGTCAGCAGGATCTTAAGTCAGGCAGTCTCTGGCCAAAGTCTAGCCTCTCCTATGGTGCGGTGCTCCATGCTCTCATGGCAGACTTCCATGTGGGGATTAAGAGCAGCACCTTGGGGGCCAGTAGATGGCATGGTGGTCAAGGGCACTGGATTCCCCCATGGCTTACTGTGGTTTGAGTCCTGGACCTGGTGGCCTACTTTCTCACTTTCTTTCCCTCCCTCTCTCTCTCTCACTCTATCCCTCTCTTGTCAAATTAAAATGAATAAATATATATAATTAAATGATTCTTTATTATTATTATTTGTTTTAATTTGACCAGAGAAAGAGAGAAAAAGAGAGAGAGAAAGTGAGAAAGCATGTTGCCAGGTCCAAGACTTGAACATTGTCCATGTAGGAGTCCAGCACCTTAAACCACCATGCCACCTGCTGGGCCCTGTTTCCAAGTTTTGGCAATAAATATCTCTATGAAGGTTTAGGTGTGTAAATGAGTTTTCGACACTCGCCAGAGAGAGACGGAGAGACAGAAAGTGAGAAATCACCCCCTGGGGGGATGGCCATGCTGCAATCACTTCTCCTCCATTCTCCTCTTAGGATCTTGGGCACACAGACTACATGCGCCCAGCGTGAGTTTAAGCCATAAGGTCCAGGACTCGAACTGCAGTTGACTGCATGGGAGTCCAGTGACATACCATTACACCAACTGCTGGTGGTCCCCAACTAAAATAATTCCTAATTTTAAAAAAAAGGCTGCACTTTGGGGTCAACAGGTGGCATAGTGGTTGCGGGCACTGGACCCCCACATGGCCGACCACGGTTTGAGTCCCAGACTTGGAGACTTGAAACTCATGCCAGGCACGTATGCGTGCATGTCCAAAATCCCAAGAAGAGAATGTGGAGAAGGGACTGCAGTATGGGCATCCCCCCTTGGGGATGATTTCTCACTTTCTCCTGTCTCTCTGGTGAGTTCATGCATCCTATAGCAAAAATATCTCTTAAAAAAAAAGAAAGTGGGGACCATCAGGTGGCATGGTGGTTAAGGCACTGGACACTCCCACATGGCCGACCAGGGTTCAAGTCCTGAATCTGGTGGCTTGCTTTCTCACTTCCTCTCTCTCTCACTCTCACCCTCTGTCTCTCTCTGGTCAAATTAAAAAAAATAAGTGAATGAATAAATAAAATACAATAAATAATTATTTAAAAAAAAAAAACAAAGAAAGAAAGAAAATCATGCCAGGTGTGTGTCTGACCAAAATCCCAGGAGGAGACTGAAGGAGAAGGGATTGTAGAATGGTCATCCGCCCCAGGGGGTGATTTCTCACTTTGCCTCTCACTGTTTCTCTCTGACAAATGCACGTGCTCTATGGAAAAAAACAAAAACAAAAACAAAACAAAAAAAAGAGCTGCACCTTTCCACTTGGACACTCAACACACACTCTTGTATGTGTGGTGTGCATGTGTGTGCATGTGCACACATGGATAGAGCATCTGCTATGTAGTGTAACTCAGTAGCTATAGAGAAAACAAGTATAAAATGTTTCCAATTCTTTGTGTTATGTAGGACACCAGCAACTCCACAGACATTATTAGGTGCTCAACTCCATGTTAGGTACTGCAGGAGGATAGGAAGGTGAGGTGGAGCTGCCCTTGAGGAGCTCACCATTTAGCCGGGGAGCCAATACACATAATACATAAAAGAAGTGATGCAAATACTAACTTGGGTGGGAATCCAGGGAAAGAACAGTTTAGCAGGATCAGCCTGCCAGTGCTTGATGAATCCTCACCCAGCCTCTTCCAGTCTCCTGGGGGCCTCTGCTACTGTTGTCATTACCAGTAAAAAGGGAATCAGTGTGAACTGTGCCCTAGCTATTGCCTAAGGAACAAGGGGCACCCGCCCTCCTTCCGTGGTGGCCAGTAGCCATCTTTTATCAGAAACCAGACAGAGGCTGGGAGGGGGCCAAGAGGCCCAGAGTCCAGGTTTTCACATCTCTGCCGGCTTCTCTTTTTCTGCCGGGCCTTCCCCTCCTCCTTCCTTCTCAATTCTTTCCTCCAGAGTTCCTCCCTCTGCTGCAGCAGCAAAGTAGCTGCATGCAAATAGGGCTCAGGTTCAACTGTTGAGGCTACTTTTCTAGCTGGTGCTCTTTATACAACTGTGGGCATGGCTGGCTTCCTGGATGCATTGTGTGTCTGAGAAGGCTTCAGGAGACACCGTTTGAGGATGATTAACCCAATCTTTTGCTTTTCATTTAGTGGAAAGCCAAGAACTTGTCCTGATGGGCCAAAGGAAGTAGCCCCCCTCAAGCTCCTTTTTTTTCATCTTTGCTTTTTAAAAGCTGCCTGTTCCTTCCCAGAAGTGATGCTCTTTTTGCATACAGCAGCTGGGAAAACAATCTTCTTAGCCAGGCACAATGCCAGATTTTAAAGCAGAAGGCTGGAGGGCAGTAGTTTCACTTCGTGGTGCGCATGCTCTCGCCCCATTCCTGGCCACACAGCCTTGGGGCTGGATGCCTACTGCATCACTTAACTTCTGAGTCTCAGTCTTTCTCTTCTAAATTGGGGGTTTCACTAAAGGAGCTCAAATGTCAAACCAGATTTCTGAACGTTTGATCTGCTTCTGTGAGTGCTTAAGGCAGAAGGACTTGAGGTTTGTTAGAATCCACCTTCTGGTGGGAACTGTGATGCAACATTTACAAACTGTGTACATCATCTTCAAAACAATGATTTTCTACAACTGACTTTGGAAATAGGGAAGAGACCAGTTCCTTTGTGCTGTTTCTTACCTTCTAGTGCTGCTGTCTCCTCTTCCTTTTTGTCAAGCACTAGTTGCTCCATTTCTTTCTTCAGATCTTCTTGATTTAAGCTACAGGCATCGAAAGCATCACTGACAAACTCAGAAACACCTGGGCTGGTGGAAATTTCTTCCTCGTCCTGAAATGCAACACATGAGCTCTTGAAACGGTTTTCTGTGACAGTCTTGTGCTAGAATTCTGGTTCACTGCTGTCCCCCAAATTAATGCAGCCTCATTGCCTTCCCATGCTCTGCTAGCTGGAAGACAATGTTCACTGCTCTTCACCCTTCTAACTTGCACGGTTGCTTGGTCACTAGATGAGTTACCACCTGAGGCTATTCTTCTCACCCTTGGTTTGGATTGCTCCAACCATTCTCTCTAATCCCTGGTGAGCACTTCTAGAATTATTTGTGCTGGTGAATTGCCTCATGTCTCAGCTGTAGGTCCGTGACTATCCAAGAACTGGCCTCTTGTACAAAACAGGTAAAATCTATACTGGCAAGTAGCTTTAACTAGTATCAACAATAGTTAACACAGTTACTTCATTTCCAAACATCAACTACTAGATACAATGGAAACTGTATTACCTCTTGAGTTTTAAGCTGAGATTTGATTACAACAGGTGGGGTTTTGGGCCGTACTGCCTCTAAGAAGTGAGAATAAAAGAGATAATAATTGTTTTATTTAGTTCTAAATACATATTATATAATAACAGCTAAAATATTCATAAGTATGATACTAAAAATTTTCAGAAATGAGCTCTTATGTTATGCTTTCAGCTTTTCATACATTATTATAAGAAATAGCCATGTAAAAACCATCTCAACCTCTTATTCTTGGGGATATTCTTATTTTTTTAGATAGGGTCTTACTACATTTTGTTCCTCCTTCCTCAGCCTGCCAAGTAGCTAGACTATAGGCATATGTAACTACGTTCAGCTTTCGGGTAGGCTGAGAATTGAACTTGGCCTCCTATGTGGCCTGAGCCTGCAGAGTAGCAGTGTCTACCAGCATATGCTACCAAAGCAATATTTTAAATATGTCATCACAGTTAGGGCCCCTTTTATAAGA